GAGGTGACTGATCTCTGAACAATAGTTGTGTTGTCATATCCTGCTATGGCAACAGAAAACAACTTTAAGTGAAATTAACAGTAAGGATACTGCAATTGAATTAAATATGAAGGTTAAATAATATCATGAATGTGCAGGTGGCGTAATGGTTGTTGGCTTGGTAAGAGAAATTGAAGAGCCGAGTTCAAATTCCAGATCAGTTTGTTATATTCACTTATCACAAATACTTTAGGGAAAGGTATGAATCCATTTCTTCTCCCTCCAGTTATGGGTTTAATAACCAGTTTAGAAGGACTAATTTTGTCCTTGTTCACTTCTGTCTCAAATATATTCAAGATTTTAATTTAAACTTCTTTGGGGAGATCATTCTTCAGCTAATAGAAAACTGCTCCCTCTTGGGACACTGGGTTTGTATCCCTGGCACGGTGCATTCGATACAGCCATTGAAAAGATAACGGGGGTTCACACTTAACTTCAATGGAGGGTTGTGAACTCTTTGATCTCAACTGAGGGAAAATTTTAAAAAAAAACCCAACAAACTTAGAAGTCAATAATACTTCTCTCTAAGTTACATCAGGATATGGATGATCATGGCTCTCCACAGCATCATTTTTATTACCTGTAACCTGTGCTATTTTTCTTTCTTGAGAAAGTGTTATATAGGAATAAAGTTTTGCTACCGACACTTGAGTTTGAACATAGATCGCCAGTGAGCAAACACAGGTGATCCCATTATTGAATTAAGTAGACCATAGAGAAAATGCATAAGTATGAATTGGTGTGGCATCTAATTGATCGTTATTTCTACTCTATCCTCTATTACTATATGGACAGCTATTCTCTACTCTATTCACTATACTATAGTGTGGTTACTATTTGAGCTAGTATTATCAAGCAAGTACTATTAGTGTGAGTGATACTCGAAGTCGTCTGACACTAGTATTATTCAACAGCATTACTATAGTTGTATCTGCGATTACAAAGTCTCTACTACAATGAGCATTACAAAAGTGACAATGAGTATTCATTAACATCATGAAAGCGGAAACAAATGTTCGTTGACATCACAAAAGAAAGATAGTGGAGTGGTTCCCTACTGGTTTTTTTTATAGTTACTATCCAAGGCTAAGGAGCCCAACTTGAAGTTTCATGCACAACACAATCTTCTCTACTCAGCACTTGAAGATTGCATTGTGCATGAAACTCAGATTCATGCTACCAGTGAGAAAAAAAAAATGTGTATATTTGTGTGTGTGTGTGTGTGTGTGTGTGGACACAGATGTCAATGCCAAGAAACAACAGGCCTAAACATTGCTTGAATTCAATCTTTAAGCCTGAAGATTCCGTTCAAATATGAAACACAGTCACCGCTTGATGTTGACCTTAGTGTCCATTTTTATATTTATATAGAAATACATTACCCTAATTGACCCAAACAAAAAAAATCAAATTATCTACTACTAAAAATTTAAAACAACTAACCTTATCCTCAAAAATAACAACACATCAGCAAAATCAAAATTACAACAAATAAACATGAGTTCAAATGCCCCTTAAGGAACTGTAGTCCTGATCAAACTAAACTCATAAATAATTACATCGGTCACACTACTACATGCCTTACCAGACTCCATCCGAAATATACTAGTAGAAAATACAAACATAATCACCTCATCCACATGTTAAAAAAAAAAAAAAAAAAGATTAAAAATAATGGAAGCCTTAATAATAAAAAAGAAAAATTCAAGACTCGATAATATTAACTACGAACACAGACACAATTTGCTATGTTCAGAAAATAAAACATCCCTATAAATCTAGAAACATACACACAACACATAAACCCAATTAAAAAGCAAAAATAAAATCATCCTTAATAATGGCTAAAAGTATAGCCGAAAGCACTCGGAATTACAGAACATTTGGACAGTTTCTTCACACTCTGTGTCCAGAAAAGAAAAACACTTGTTCAAACACAAAGAAAATGAAATAAAAAGCTTAACTGCAGTACCTTGTCTGTTGTCTTTAATGAAATATGTATAAATGAAGGATTGCTGCTTAAATATACTTTTATATTTGCATATCGCTTTATTTTTATATTGAGCACTTTTACCCATAAATATAGCGATCTTAAAACTATATTTTTATCAGACACACACACACACACACATATATATATATATATATATATATATATATATATATATATATATTTTTATTAGTAAAAGGTACCTTCAGCATCCCAACTCCAGAGTTTTGTAAACGGACCCTCCGAATCACTTTCATCCACTCATCAGAGTGTATCAGCAATTGAATTTTTTATACTTCTCGATTTTTCTTTTTTATATGTACTTTTCATTGGTGCAAATATTTTTTTCTCCATGTGCAAAATATTGTGGTTACTTGTCCTTTTTGTTGTCTTTTTTTTTCACTTTACACTCACTTTTCTTTTTTTTTTTTTTTTTTTTTTTTAAACCATTTCTTTCTTTTTCTCTTTATATATATTTTTTTTCTTTCTCTCTTTTTTTTATGCAATGTTCATATTCCTTTGCTTTTCATTTTTATAATTACACTCAGTCCAAATTTGTTTCTTTTTGATTTTGTTTTTTTATTAGCCTCCTCTGGGTTCCTTCCTGCCTAAATAAAGGCAGATAGGTCAACAAGCAAGTGTATTCCAAACTCAGAGGTTTGGTTCATTCATTTTCAAATTGTTCTCTCTCTTTTTTCTTTTCTCTCTTTTTTCTTTCTCTCTTTTCTTTCTCTCTCTCTTTTTTTTCTCTTTTTTCTCTTTTTCTTCTCTTTTCTCTCTCTTTTTCTCTCTCTCTTTCTCTCTCTCTCTTTCTCTCTCTCTTTCTCTCTTCTCTCTCTCTCTCTTTCTCTCTCTCTAATTCTCTTCTCTCACTTATTTCTTTTAACCTCATGTTTTCTAACTTCTCACTCTTCACCTCTCCTGATTTCTTTCCAAGACCATCTCACTTCATTTCTTCCTCTTTTAAGTTTTTCTTTTCCAATGGTTTCATTTGATTAATGGCATATCAACATCTTATGGGTCATTTAATACCAAAATTTACTTTTCATGGGAACTCTGATAATTTTTTTTTTCTTTTTTTCAAAAATGTATTGCTGTTTTTTTTTTTTTTTTTTATTGGTGGTAATTTTTCTCTTCCTTTTCCAATGTATTGCTGGAAATTCTTTTACTCTGAAAATGTATTGCTGGTATTCTTACTACAAAAAAATATTTTTATACTTTCATAATGTTTTGACCCAAGTTTGGGGGTTCACTATTTATCCATAACTGAGATCCTAACAGGTGCTACCACCCTGGGTCAGGGTGAACCTGGGGACAATAGCAATTAAGAGGTGGTTTCATGCTCCTCAAAACCACTCAGTCAGAGACCTTGCTGCCAGATGTAGTTTATTGTCATACCCAGGAAAATCTTTTCCAGTGATTTTTCTCTTCCTTGTTTATTCTTGTCCTTTATAGTTCAATGCTTTTGTTCCATGGCTATTCTTTTTTATAAGATGAATAAAAATGCAAAAATTTATAAATTATACTGAACATTTCTTGTTTTAACTTCATAAAAATCATGGATCATATAATTCTAATTTAAAGTCCACCTGACTTCATTTCTTCCTCATTTAAATTTTTCTTTTCCAATGGTTTGGTTTGTTTAATGGCATATCAACATCTTATGGGTCATTAATGTCCCAAAAGAAAAACAGGAAATGAAGTTTTCTGATTTATTTTGAAAATTAATGGCAGTAATCATTTTCTTGGTTTCAGCAAGAGGAGGAGGCGGTCTTCAGTCCCCCCCCCCATTCCATCAATATCGAGTAGAAAATACTAAGAGCAAAGTGCTGTACATAGAGCTACTAGTTAACTTTTAATAAATATGTATAGCCATTTTCTGTCAGATAAAAGTTTGTCTATTCAGAAGCCAATAAAGCAACTGACAAGGCACATGAATAACATGGTTGTCTGTCTCATTTATTAACTGGTATATTTCAGTCTTACTGATCATTGGTACTACAAGGGTCATTTAGTGTAGAGTAGCGAAAGATTTTTCATTCCACCTTTCAAGTAGGCAGCGCCTTGAAAATCAGCCTTCAAAGTTTTGGCTTTTAAAAAGTGGCACACTCTTCATGGTGGACAGACAGTTGCATCCCAGACAATTGCGTCCCTGGATATTTGCGCCCCTAGATATTTGCGCCCCTAGATAAATGCGTCCCTGGATATTTGCGCCCCTAGATAAATGCGTCCCTGGATATTTGCGCCCCTAGATAAATGCGTCCCTGGATATTTGCACCCCTAGATAAATACATTCCTGGATATTTGCACCCCTAGATAAATACATTCCTGGATAATTACGTCCTTATGATAATTTTTTGAAGTTTTTTTTTTTTTTTTTAAAGAGTTGTTTAATATAGAAATTTGTTCTCCAATACCTTTTAATTGCTATAAACAAGTGGAAAGGTATTTACCATAAATAATTAGAGAAAATTTTCTTTCTTAAAACAAGTGAAAATGAAACTAGCAGTTTCAGTTCACTCCAGCTGTGCATACCACAAATGTCTAATAGATTCTGGATTTTATAGATTATATTTTTTATTTCAAAACCTGACTAAGTTCTGAAAATCAAGCACTGCTGGAAAAATATTTGTGGACGAGGAAAATTACAGTTACCACTATCATAAGAAAAACGCAGATGAAACAAAAACATGCATTGTGTAGAGCAATCTTGCAACACTGATAATCTGTCATTGCATTTTAAACAAAAAGAAAGTTTATAGTTTTTAGTTTATTCCTTTTGTAAAAAAATATGATTACTGCCTGTGCTTTTTTTCAAAATTTATGGTAATTGCCTTAGCTTAAAAAATTATCAGAGGTAAGCAATTATCCAGGGATGCATTTTGTTTAGGGACACAACTCTTCTAGAATCCACTCTTCACCTGTACTAGATTGCACAACTCATATGACTTAAGAATTTCTATCATTGTGCTTTTTTTCTTCTTCCTCAAGCTGCAACATCTTCATGAGTGGCTAAGGCTGCTGGGGGATGGGTTTATTTGTTTTTCTTTTCCTTTGTGTGCCATCCTCTAGATTGCTTGCCAACCAAGGCTGAAGAGTTTTTATTTAACCATTAGTTTGCCAACTGGCTTTGAATTAAGAGCTGCCTTTTTCATAGACTGGCTGCAAGCCAAGGCTAATGAGCTTTGTCTTCACTGCTATTTTAGTATATATCTGGGAAGAGATGTGTTTTCCAAAGACATTTTTGCATGAAAGTGAATGTATTTTCCTCATCTTCTTTGTTATTACAGCATTTTGGCCATTGTACCCCTCTGGTGTATGCCAAAGTGGGTAACCTACAGAAATTCAGGAGCTGAAGAGTCACAAAATAGGTTATTTTATACTTTATTTAAGAATTCTGCTAATTTACTCATTGAAATATCTTTCTTTTCTATTTATTTAACCCTAACATAAAAACTTTTAGCAACCATCTGTTTACATTTCTCAGATGAGGTATTGTCACTATTTAAACTATTTACATTGTTCGGACTGTTATCTTCGTCTTTATTGTCATATCCCCAATGTTTCAGCTATTGTACACTCCAGCCTTCTTCAAGTGATATACATTGGAATTTCAAACTGAACACTTGTTCTCATTCCACGTGTCATGCCTTTTCTCGGTTTCAGTTATCTCCCTTTAGTAACAACTCTCCAAGTTTTTGTTCACCTCTGCTGTGGCCAGGTATTGAACTCACAATTCTTTGGGTCAAGTCACGGAATTACTCCAACCAGTCCTTGGTTTGAAATTCCAACGTATATCACCAGAAGAAGCCCAAAACATACAGTGGCTGAAACTTTGAATATGTCAATAAAGATGAGGACAACAGTCTAAACAATGTAAATAGTGTAAATATTTAGCAACCATGTAAACAGCTTGGGTACTAATTCATGCAAAAAAATTAAGTGACTTGAGTACAGTTCAAAAATGTTAAGGTGCTTACTAAACATACACAATCTTTTTTAAAAAAAAGATAAATCTTTATGTAGGAAATACTTTGAGGGAATTCTGATAAATCTCTTATCTATAAACACATGTCAAACACTTTATATTACATCATTCATATTCAAAAAATCTAAAATATGTCTGCCTACTTCTACAACCACAATGATAAATGGAGTTTATGCAAACAACCACCATACATAAATAAAAATGCCTACTAGAGAGAGAGAGAGAGAGAGAGAGAGAGAGACACACACATTCTCATCCAAATCCAGGATAGACAAACTATAATCATGATACACTTACACAAATTTACACAGGGACACTGGTTTACAAGACAAAATGCATGTAAAGTCTGTTTTAACCAACAAGAAAAACAAATACAAAAATAACGTGTCTTTGAGTGGATAAAGGCATTGGTTAGATCCAATGACTAGACCCAGAGAGTTGTTATTTCAATACCAGGCTGCAGCAGTGATGAACCAAAAAACTTGGAGAGTTGAGTTGAAGGAAATATGACATCTGGAAGAGACATGGCACGTGGAACTAGAACAATCTACCATGGTGGTCGAAATAAAGAGTTCGATTCAAAATTACAATCATCTGAAGAAGGCTGGAGTGTACAATGGCCGAAAGGTTGTGAATATGGCAATGAAGATGCAGATAACAGTTTGAATAATGTAAATAAATAATCTTTTTTCTCCAAATTTCATTTTCTGATGAAGCTTTGATAAAGTCAAAACATTTTAGATTTATAAGTATTTCTTATTTGTTTTTTATCCTATCATTGTCAGATTCCAATCCATATTTGATCCCAATTTGCACGATCATGCATCACTGTAATAATTGGTGACCCATGTCTTGACCTGACAGATGTTGATTTCAATTGGCAGCAGATTTTCTTACATTCTAAGAGTTAACTGCCTCCTTCTCATCCAAATAATCTTCAAAAATGGGGAAGGAAAAAAACGAATTTAATCTTTTGAAAACACTTGGTTTTTTTTTTTTTAAATTCCAGGCAGACATGACCCTCCACCATCACTCTATCCCCCACCAGGTGGGGTGGGGGTGTAATTAAGAAAATATCTGAGAATAAATAAATGGGTTTGCTTAATTGCTTTAGTTAGTCTAGGTCAGTCTTGGAGATCCCATCAAGGAAACCTGACTGACCTCTTGTGTCATGGGAAAAATAAGCACACAGTGTCCACACACCAGTTTTAGTTGGTATTTATTACTTTGATGACAGGCAAGTTTTATTTGGGGGTAAGGTGGAGTTGTAACATTTGTTATCACCATTTAAAGTTTTGGTTAACCAAAAAAATGTTTCTGATGAAATTTTTAAAGATTAAATTATTTACATTATTTACAGGTGGAGAGGGGACTATTGTTCTTATCTTTGTTGTTGTTATCACATTGTTTTGGCCAATATACTTTATCAGGTGTATATTAATCTGGGTAACCTACAAGGAATTCCAAACTGAACCCTTTATTTAATCTACAGGGTGAAGCAAAAGTCACGCACCATAGAGATAATTTATTAAAAGTATAATTACACATGAAAATGTTATTTACTAGTTATTTAATTGTTGTATGTGCTGTTCAAAATGTCCGCCTCCTTTTTTTTTTCTTTTTTCAAAACGTGTTTCAGTTCTGTGCCTGCATGATTCATTCTATCCTGGGTATGCCAATAAACTACATCCGCATCCTGGGTAAGACGATAAACTACATCCAACAGCAAGGCCTCTGATCAGGAAGTTTTGATGATCGTGGAACCACCTCTTAATTGCTGGTGTTCCCAGAGCCACCCTGATCTGGGGTGGTAGCACCTGTTAGGGTCCCAGCTATAAGCAAAGTGTTAACCCTGAAACTGAGGTAAAAAGCCTTATGAAAGTGTAAAAATAGGTTTTAATACCAGAAATACTTTTCAAAAAATTATTACCAGCTATATATTTTTGATGAAAAAAAAATATTACCAGAAATAGATTTTTGACAAAACAAAATATTACCAAGAAAAAAAAAGTTGTCGGCATTAAATAACCCATTGAAGTTGATATGGTATAAAACAAAAACCAAACCAAACCAAACCAAACCAAACCAAACCAAACCTGATTCATTATCACATCGGAGAGTTTCCTCTGTTTTATTACTTCATTCATGTTTCATTCTTTAAGTTCAATATTTCTTGTGCATGTCTGATAAATCACTGATTTCAAAAAGCACCACAGAAAAGAATCTCAAGTGTTGAGGTCACTCAACAGAACCTTTTTGACCTATCCATTAATCCCTATGGCACATGACTTTTGCCTCACCCTGTACAGTGGGGTAGACTGTTCTTGTTCCATTACTCATGTCTAGGGCTATCTCATCTTGTTCCTGTTTTTAGTATTGCTCTCCCTATTTTCCCCATGTTCAAACATACTGCCTGGCACAGGGGCTAAGCTCACAACTACTATTTAACCAAATTCATGAACCTTTAATCCATTAGTCTATTGTCTCATAGGACAATTCTCTGTGGAAAGCTATGAGCCATAAACCTAACCTGCCTGCTGCTTGTCATGCTTGACTGCACTCACTGAAGGTTTTCTTTTTTGTTACAGCTGCTGTTGAAACTTGCTGTCATTGCGCTTTCTTTCTTTATTAGCAGCTCCCATAATGTACTTTTTATTAGCAGCTCCCATATTGTATTTATTTCTATGCTAGGCCTACTAAGGAGGTTCTCATAGCCTAGCATATGTGCTGATTCTTTCAGATTTCTAACTCCCCAGTGTTATTCCTTGTCTAATATTTTTGCTTCATTCTACAGGAGCTGATGACTTTACTTTTCCATTCATACATGATCAGCTATATTCAATTTCAGTGTCTCATGGCTTTTCGATGTTCCTCCAGTCCTATTTTTAGGGAGTGTTTTCACCTTTATATTCTTTGCCACAACTGCAAGGAATTGAGTACATGCAGTTCTTGATCATGTTTCTTGTTAGGCTTTACAAAGTAGAGATTTCTCTATAGAATGGAGTTTCTTCTTTAATATTGTCCTGATGGATGGACTGCAGATCTTCTGAATCTCTTCTGATAAGTTTTGTAAAATTTTTAATATTTTCTTGTGTTTTGATTTTCTTTATTTATTAGAATAATCTTAATACCAGGTTGGTTTAATAACAGGTTGGAATAAAGTGGCAACAAAAACAAACAATGGGGTCTGGAATTGCAATGGGTAGGTTAAGAAAAAAAAAGTTAAATACCCAGGCAGATCTAGGTCTATTTCAGATGTTAGTCGTTACTTTCAATGATGATACGCTGAAGATGATGTAAATAAGCATTGAAATAAATTACACTTGCTTGAGTGGTCCCCCCCCCCAAAAAAAATCATACCTGGGTTTTAAGAAATGGGTGAGAACAACCTAAAACTGATCCCTCACTTTCTATCATCTCTTCATTTGATTACGTATAAGCATAATTTGGAATTTCATCCTGTCTAAATTAGAACTGGATAGTAATCTACTATGGCCAATTAATAGGGGATGAGTTTAATACTAAAGAACAATACAAAACTGATCCCTCACTTTCTATCTTCCTTTCATTATCTATAAGCATTTTTTAAGTTACTTTCCTGTTGACTGAAGAATTGGCAAAAAATCTATAAAGAAATGGGGCCCGAAATGGGGGATGAGTTTAATGCTAAAGAACAACACAAAACGGATCCCCCACTTTCTACCATCCCCTTTAATATGAGAATTTTTTTTTTTAGTTGCTCTCATTTTGACTGGCCAAGAAATGGGGGATGACTTTAATACTAAAGAGCAATGTAAAATTGTTTTCTTTTGATAACTAATTAACATTTTTTAGTTACTTTCATCTTGTTGAGATTGTAGAAATGGATAGCAACTACTGTGGTCAAGAAATGGGGGGTGAGTTTAATACTAAAGAACAATACATAATTAGTCCTTCACTTTCTATCATCCTTTCACTGATTATCTGTAATTTTTTTTGTAGTTACTTTTGGGTTTGGACTGGAGAAATAGTTATAATCTGCTATGAATAGGAAATGGGGGATGAGTTTAATACTAAAGTATAATGCAAAACTGATCCCCTACTTTGCTCTTTGTTAATGTAATTTCTAAAAAAAAAATATTTGATTGAGTCATGTATGCTTTCCTAATTGCACATGTAACGTCTAAATTCTTCCAAATTATTTGTCATAGCTTTTATACCCCACCCCTCATCTGTGAACGGATTCTTTACTATCCCCAAACTTGATTTATCAACTAGGATAACAACTTAGCAGCCCACATAACCTTTATTTTGAAACTCACAGCCACACCCAAAACCAAGTGGGTTGAGGTCAGTGTTAGTTGGCCTTGTGTCTCTCCAATCAGGTGCCATTGTCATGATTATTACTCATTTGACCTTTCTGGTCTTAACCTTTCTCTTTGGATTTATTCAATATTCCTGACTTTTAACTTTAGCATCTGACATTTTTCTTTTTAGCTCTCCCAAAAATGGCGTATTTGGCTCCTTTGATCATGTAGAGTTGTGTAGTGCCAAACAAAGATTTTGTAAGAGATTCCCATAGTCTTTAATCCCATTTCTGGAATGTGGCATTCTAGGCCCGGGGAGTGGAGTTGTGTAGTGTCAAACAAAGATTTTGTAACAGATTCCCATAGTCTTTAATCCCATTTCTGGAATGTGGCATTCTAGGCCCGGGGAGTGGAGTTGTGTAGTGTCAAACAAAGATTTTGTAACAGATTCCCATAGTCTTTAATCCCATTTCTGGAATGTGGCATTCTAGGCCCGGGGTCCCAAGCGTGACATTCTGGCCGGAATGATTTTTCTGAATGGATTTTTTTTTTTTTCTGGAATATTGTTTGTTGGCATATTGATTCCACTGTAATGGTCATGGAATATCAAAGATTGTGAAGTTTATTCTCATCACCAAGCCTCATTTTCTGAATTTATGGCATATTGATTTGTATATAATTGTTAAAGAATATTATTAACTCACTAGACCCTGACCTTTCACCTCTCATGATGGATGGGTCTTTTCTCAGCTCCTTGCCTTGAATTGTCTATTAGGACTCAAAAAAGCCCCACCCTTGTACAAGAAAAAGTAATAATTGAATATATTTCCTTGTCTTTGTTGGTTGTAATTGTCCTTCCTCCCATACGCAACAGCATCTGATACCTTTACTTGTATTATACCCTCCCCCATATAACTCACAATTTAGATATATCTGAACAAAGTTGTTCACCATGCATGACATTCATTTGAATTTTTTTTTTTTTTTTCATCTGACAAGGCTATTTAAGAATATGATAGAAATTTTGGGGTACAGAATTAATTTCAACTGAGAAGTAATTAATGAAAGTTGCAGAAAAGATGAATTTGTATCAGTAAATCATTATTATCTTGGAAAAAAAAATTCTAAAACATATTTTCAGGCTATTTCAAATAACCTGCATAAGGTTGATCAGCTGTAAAAAAAAAAAAAAAAATAACTAATCAATTCTGAACTAATTAATTTCTTCTGGTTCTAACTTGGGGGTTAAGGCAGGCTGGAAAAAAAAATAGTATCTTATGACTCTTATATACAAGTTAGTGTGTCATTATTAATATTCAGAAATGTAATTTAAAGACTTCAGTAGTTTCCTTTGTGGAAAGGGTATATCCATCTCCCGCCTACCTGCCACATGATTGTCTCCTTCAAAAGTTGCATTATAAAATTGTAGTTTAGAGAATGCGCAATATTCTAACCGTTTTAATCTGTCAATCTGTGATCTCAATTCCCAGGGCAAGGGTCAATCCCTCTACCTGACTGGTTGAGAACATTACCCCAGGAATCATAGAATTCCTTGTGGAATCACCACATACCAGTTACCCCCCACACACACACACACATGTGCGTGTGCACACACCACCACCACTGGTTGAGAGCATTCACCTTGAAACTATGAAATTCCTTTTGCAGGGTGACAATCCCTCCACCCTGGTTAAGAACTGCTGATCTATTTGAATAAAATTTGTTTGGTTTCACACTATTATTTATATTAGTCACTAGTGACCAAGAAAGTTTTGTAAAACGATGACCATTATGTAGTTGTAAATGAATCACAAAATTCCATTTTTGGCTCCTGGGCCAACATCATTGTTTTTTAAATGTCGTATAAACCTGTTAATATCTTCGAAATTATGTTATCGCATTAGTATCCATGCCTATCGATTAACTTTTGTCTATAAAAATAACCCGAGGGACTTTATTAATTTATTTTTAACCCTGGGATAAACATTTGAAGTGGGTTAGTCCATTTCTTTTCATGGATTCTGATCCATCCCCCATCTAAAACAGGATACTCTCAATAGACAAGCACTTTTTTTTTTCTTTTGTTCTTTTTTTCCTCAGCATTGACCAATCCTTTATAAATGTTATGTTTTTCAGAAGGCCAAGTCTTTACCAACCACACCAGCAGAAGAAATGCAAAGAAAATTCCCATCACAAGGTAAAAATGACTATTTTTTTTTTTTTTTTTTTCTAAACTTTCTTTTCTTGAAATTCTGTGATATCCTGATATCATTTATTGGGTATCATTTAAAACTCGTATCTTTTTTTTTTTTTTTTTTTTTTAAATCAAGGCCAAAGATATTAGTTTAAGTGCATCAGTATGAATACTGAATACAGCGAGATATGAGGCTGCTGTCAAAAGGGAGATAGTAATTGAAAAGAACTCCATAATTCAGTTAATAGACACATACTTAAGCATTTTTGAGAGAAAAGTTATTTCAAAAAGTTTAAGAAAGGTCATATTTAAACTTCAAATTTTTCTTTCTTTCTTGTTTCTTTTTTATATATATATATATATATATATATATATATATATATATATATATATATATATATATATAGGTTTGTTTTGTTTTATGCCATATCAACTTCAAAAAATGCTGGTAATATTTTTTTTTTTTTTTTCTTCAAAAATGTATTGCTGGTAATAATTTTTCATGAAAGAAAATAAATTGTCGGTATTAAAACCTATTTTACACTTTCATAGTGTTTTGACCCCAGTTTGGGGGTTAACTATTTGCCCATAGCTGGGACCCTAACAGGTGCTACCACCCCGAGTCAGGGTAGACCTGGGAACACCTGCAATTAAGAGGTGGTTACACACTCCTCAAAACCCGATAAGAGGCCTTGCTACTGGACATAGTTTATTATCCTACGCAAAACACGGATGTAGTTTATCGTCATACCCAGGGTGTGTGTGTGTATATATATATAAAATTACATTTAGGCAGCAATCCCTCTTATATACAAGTTTCATTAAAGACAACCAATAAGGTACTGCGATTAAGCTTTTTATTTAATTTTTTTTCTTGTGTTCATATAAGTGTTTTCTTTTCTGGACATAAAGCATGTAAAAATGTCTGAATATGCCGCATATTCAAGTGCTTTTGGTTATTCTATTAGCCTTTATCAAAGATGTTTTTTATTTTGTATTTTTAACTGAATCTATAGATTTTTATAGATGTATCTAGAATGATGGGAAAGTTTGGGGTTTTTTTCCCAAACACTGTCAGCACATTTTGGCCATGTTCATAGTTGAGTGTTGGCTTTATTTTTAATGCTTCCATTATTTTTAGCTTATTTTGCATGTGGACGGACAATTATAGTCGTTTTCTATTAGTATGTTGCGGACAGAGTTTGGTAGGTTTCCAAGTGCATTTAAATGGATCCTAATCGAACTATGGCCAGAGAAATGTAACGTGAGTCTTCTTGATAGGTATGTAGTGGTATGTCCAATATAATTAGTTATGAATTTGGTTTGATCACGATTGCAGTTCCTTAAGGGACATATGAATTCAGAAATAATATTGCTTCTCTGTAATTTACATCTTGCAGAAGAGTTGTTGTTCTTGACGATAAGGTGAGTGGTTTTAAACTTTTTATAATAGATAATTTAATTTAATTTTCTTGTTTTGGTTCACTAGGGTTGTGTCTGTCTTTTATAATGTTTCTAAGGGGAAAATCCATCCTGCTTATAGTTAACGTGTATTTGATTTTTATAGAAAATCTTAATATTATTAACGCTATGTTCAGTGTTGCTATTGTCAGTCATCTTTAATGAAACTTGTATGTGAATACATACATACCATATATATATATATATATACACATACACACACACACACATACATACATGTGGTACTTATGGGAAAGTGCTCAATATCAGTGATATTGCTAATGTATTCAGTTGTATGGATATGAGTTTGTAACAGTCATATCCGTACAAATGAATATAGAATATATGTATATATACACACACACACACACACTTTTATATATATATATATATGTGTGTGTGTGTGCAAAAACGTGAAACCCAGGGCCACAAACTCACATCAATCCAACTAATATATATATAAAACTTATCACATAGCTGATTGATGTTATTTTCAGTATCCTAACTAGAGTTTCGAAGACAGACCCTCTAGCAATCACTCCATCCACTCATCAGAAGTACAGATGCTTTTATCTTCAGTGTTTTAAAAAAAAAAAAAAAAAAATGTAGGTAGATGTTTTTTTTTTTTTTTTTTTCTATTTAAATGCATTTATAGAAAAATGACTAGCAATACAATTTTTATAGTAAATGACCAACAATATATTTTATCTATAGTTGAAAACCTACAATTGCATTCAAAATAACTAGATTCTGGCATTTGATATGCCACTGAACTAAACCAACCATTCTTATTTAGAGTTCAGGAGAAAATGGCAATTTAGGCCAGGTTTGTGCCTTATTTTTGCTAACCTCATTTGAACAATCATCATGTCTAATGATAATATGTGTAGTAGGTTACCAACACAGGATATTGTTGACAATATCGTAACAATAGAACTACTACTATTACTAATACTGCTTTTTTTTTTTTTTTTTTTTTTTTTTCTAATTTCATTAAACAAGTTAATTTCAATATTATGTGTGGCATTATAAATGTCTTACTTTTGAAATTATATTGGATTTATAAATTGTCAGATATTTTCTTACTCTGAATTTTGTTAAATGTTTCCTGGAAATTAAACTAAAAGTAAAGATGACAATGAATTGTTTGTTTTGTGCCCAGGTTATAGATGAAACCAACTTTTAATATTTACCTCTCAAGAGTTGCTAAAAACTGAGCAGACATGATGAAAAAAAATGACCCCAAAGTTAATAAAAACAATGTTTTCTCATCAAAATATTTTTATTATCAAGAGGATTTTTTTGATATTATTATCAAAGGATTTTTTTTGATTTTTAAATTATATTTTTTAAATCCTTTTTAGAACCTTAAAAATGTTAGTTAAAACTTTTTTCTTGTATTAATTGTTATTTTTTATTTATTTTTTATTTTTTTAATTTTTTTTTCGTGAAAAATACATTGATTTGGAAATTTTTGTAAAAAATCAAATAATTGTCAGATCTTAATAAAACTTTCATGATTTATTCAGAAATAAATTAAATTATTTTAAAAACTTATTTTTATTTTATTTTTTTTTAGAAAATCTTTGTGTGTGTATGTATGTATGTGTGTATATATATATATATATATATATATATATATAGTTTGTAATTAGGCAGCATTTCTTCATAAATGCATGTTTCATTAAATAATATAGACAAGTTTTGTCTATTTTAAGCAAATACCTTTCATATCATCTGATAAGCTTAACATTATCATTGAAAGATGAAAGAAGATCACCATATTGATACATGTTTTTTAATCCTATCTAAGCTTTTGGCTTACATAAGCCATCATCAAAGATGACAAATACATTACAATAAATTAAACAATACATGGACATAACAACAATGATTGTCTGTTTTGTTTGCATGGAAGATTTCCGAACAACAACACACTCGTGCATACAAGCCACTGTTATGGGCCGCAATGTGATTTTCGCTTCCTTTATTTCACCGTACGGTCTTTTTTATACCCACTGGAGTGACAGGGTGTAATCGATTTCTATTTTTTCCTCATATTAAGTCATTTGCAGTTGGTGTGCAATATGAATCTATTTTTGGGGTGTGTGATGATATTTGTTTGGCTTTGAAAAATATTGTATTATCCATGATTGCATCAGATTTTTATCATGCCCAGACACTATTGTCTCTACTGTTGATTAGTTATCCTATGGCCATTGGCTGCAATGGACATTACTCCAAGGAAGCGTACGAAAATTGTATTGCTGCACAAACACACTGGCAAGCCTTACCAGTGAGCAAATCAAAGTACTTTAGACTGGCCTGGAAACTCTTGATTTAAAATGCAGTCAAGAATCTGTGGTAAATTTGTAAGGATTTTCTAGTAAAATTACTATTAAATATATTTTATGATCTACATGAATCACCCATAGAGGTTGATATACCGCCTAACAAAATCAACATCCCTTGTGGGTTATGAATTATTCTCCACTCTTCAACCTTTCACCCACAGGTAGGATTTAGCAAGCCACTCACTGCTCTACTGCTACTTCCATAGAATGTACTACATTCCTTGGTCCTGCCAAGTGAAACCTTCATGGCAAGAACACGCCATGCCACTTACATAGTAGTCAACCACCCACGTTCCCTCCATATCCCATCAGTGAGAAATTCTGCTCAAGCAGCTTCTTTCCCTGAACCATTTTCCTGATTTGAAACAGAATGTTTTTCCAATCACTCTAACGTTAACCTATTCAAGGGTTAAACTCAGGAAGATTAAGATGACCCCCTCGGTTATCCATCGAAACTGCAATGCACCAAAATAAGAAAAGAAACCACTCCCCACCGTGGGTCATTTAAAAGATATTTCGTGCACCGGATTGGCTGTTACAAACATCCAATCGGATGTGCGGAATATGTGGTCTTTCTTCGTCTAATTCTTTAAAAAAAGGCCAGAGTAGCTGTTAGCATTTAATTGTGAGGGGAAATCAGGGGTTGATCTCCCCTGATTGGGTCGATTTGATGATGGGGAGTATGATGTTGAAAGACCTGAAACTCCCTGATGAACCAAGTCAAAACATCACTGACAACCTCCTCGGGCGCCTACTTAAAAGCGTATTTTTTAATTATTCAAGGCTAAGGTTAACCATTATCTTTCACTCCTATATGCACAAATAGCCTGTTAACATAACCCTCTACCTCAAGTGCCCTGGGGGTCTTGTAAAAGGTGAATGCTTCTGGAAAAAAAAAAAAATATGCTACTAACCTTTAGAAATTTAAGACAGACAAGAATTTGCTTTCTCTACAGATTCACAAACGAACTTTAACCAATTTATACTGATTGTCCAGTTCAAAAATTAAGCCAGAACGTCTTAATAGGTCATAGATGGATGGATTTTATTATAAGCCTTTAATTATTATAGGATTTTTTTTAAAGACCTTATAATTAATTCCATATTTTTATTTTTTATATTTTATTTTGGTGTCACTGTTAAAAAGCCTATCCCATGAAATATTACTACTGTAGTGGATTTGATCCT